AGGAAAGAAAAGATACTTTAAAAAACAAAGCTACAAAGCCAAAGGACAGTATCAGTACTTGAGGAGCAGGAGGGTGAAGAGGTATTTCATTGTCCGCATAACTAAAGCACAGCCCTTAGCTGGCTACCCAAAACCCTACCTAGTAAACAAAAATGGTTCAGCTGCATTCCTAAAGACACTTTCACTGAGGTTCTAGGAAGAGCTCAGCACTCTTTCTGGGAAACACTAAGAAAAATTACCAATAAAGTAATTAATTTTAGCTTTTCAGACAGTGACTTAGTCCCAAGCTTACAATCCCAATTGCATAAAGACATTTATCTCCCTAAGGCATCCACAATCCAATTAGGATAATTTACCTTCCTCCTCAAATACCAACTGTCTTTCTTGTAAAGCCCACACAAACCACTCTGAAATGACACCGATGACATGTAAAAATGAATTTTATTGATGCCCTTGCTGAAGGTTGCACTGAACATGCTCAGCAGTAAGGCCACCTGCTATGGCATTCATCAGTTGCACTGGAACTTGCAATTCCACAAGCAAGATGCCACTCATGCACCGCAAGTATCCATCACATGCAAACGAGAATGTTTGTTATCCTTCGTTTAGGGTCACCTTGTTCTGTTCACAGGCATGAACTGTACATGCTGGACTTCACAGCCACCTGACAGATGCTGTAGTCACACGTACAGCAGCTTAGGGACAGGTTCTGCTGTCGCAGAGAAAACACATTGGCATCTAGTGGCCAAAAAGCACATTACAGACAATACGAAACAGTGCAGATGCCTCTCATTTCATATTTATGCTGTACAGAGAGATGCAGCATGGACTGGAATGGGCAGATCAGCAACAGCTCCTGCAGAAGAGATGGTCCCAGTGAAAAATCCAACGTAGGCTTGAATCCACCTGCACAGCATCTGACTGGTACAGGAACTGGAATGAGGTAGGACAGCCAGAAACACTACAAAGGTACCAGGACACAATTATCTCAAAGACAGACATCAGTGAGCAGAAGAACAGCAGTATCATCTTCATTTGTAATAGGCAGGCAGAGACAAAAAGAGGTTCCAACAAGTTACTAGGATAGTGATCATCTTCATTTAGCCACAGCTTCAGTTTCCATCAGAGTGCTACGTCTCCACAAAAATTCTCCTGCCTCTCTGTCTCTTCCCCGACTCTCCAAAGAAGCTAGGAGAATCCCTACCTTCAAATACTGACAAAATAAGAGAAGCAGAATTACATTCAGATGTCACCACCCATCAGTTACAAGATCACATGTGCTGCAGTCAGCCCTTCATAGGATACCGTACTAAGATTTGGATACAGAGATTCAAGATACTTGATGACCAAGATGGCTTATGAAATACCTAGAAAAAGCAGCCACTTCTTCCCTTCCTCCCTCTGTGGAATCATCCCCAATCTCAGGCTTCTTAACTTCCCATCCTGGGTGGGATAATCTACCTTTCCTCTTCTTACAGTCCCTTTGAAGCAGAATGACTAGATGATCTCTCTGCTGCCAAGAGCTCTCCACCCTAACACCCAGTAATGGAGAAGGGCAGATGCCAGACCATCACACTGGAATTGAAGTTTGTGGAAATTCAACTTTGTATCATCTACAAAGGGATAAAAGCCAACCAAAATATAAGGAAGGCGAGTACAAAAGGCAATAAATCCCTAGAATTTCCTTTAAGACAGCAAAATGAAGATGATACAAGCTTACATAGCTGACTCACTAATCCCAAGGGACCTGAACACCTCTCCCATCTGCCACTGTTCCAAATACTTCAGACTCAGCTAGGGATGAGACGGTTTCAGGTCAACCTTACTTTTCCCTGCTCCCCAGCACCCTAAGCACTGGCTCTCCTGCTCATGCTACTACAGGCAAGGGAGCAACCCTAAACAGATAGATGGGGTAAGAGGCTGCATCCAACAGCAGGGACAGGAGAAACAGGAAAGTGCTCTTCCTCACTATCGGGATCCTCTAGGTTCGGACTTGGAACTTGCCAGCCTTAGTCATGTATTTTATCCCCTTGAAGGGCTTGTACTTCTCCCCATACATGTCCAAGCGATTCACCTTCAGTCCTAAAGGCAAACAAACACAGCGTAAGACTGACTGCTGCCACAAACAAAGCAGACAGGCCTCCAGGATAAAGGAACAGAAGATCATACTACAGGTGCAGAAAGCATAGGGAAAGTTTTAGCAAGCAGTAAACAGAACAAAGAAAAGCTGACAACTGCTAATTGTCAGAATTGTTGTTTACAAACACATCCATACCCTAAAATTCTTTAGGTCATGAAATGCAAGGAAATGTAGATAGGCTGTTTCACAGAGCATCAGAGAGAACAAATCCATGTATCTGTAGTTAAAGCACACAATTTTTCTACTTGAAGAACATGTTTCAGATAGAATGTACTTCAGAAGGCCTGCAGAGCTACTTCAGCTACGTGCAGAGTGAGCACTGACATAGCAGAGAATATTCAGCTTTTTTACCTGACAGTCACTTACCAGATATAGCCAGCTGCTGAATTTTAAACTGCAGATTAATGGTGGGGTTTTCATCTGGTTTTGATGTGCCAGCTTGCAGGGTCACGCTCCCCTTCAGGCTTGGCAGTTTCTGGGGGTTTATTTTCCCCACATCCCATGACAGCAACTTCAAGGAACAGAAAATGCAGCAGTGAAACAGAAATGCTCTAACACTCTCTAAAGAAGAGTCCCCTTCCAATGACAGCTTTTAATGTTTCTTTATGGAAAAGGACTTTGTCTTAGTATCTTGCCTTTCATATTGGACAGACACAGCACAGGCTTAAGGAGCAGCTGCCTTGGACCTTTGTTCTCCCTCTCTCTTTCCATGAGGTTCCCCAAAAGCCTACCATGAATGAATGATACTTCCACTACTTGTGCTACAGGTTCCATTTTCTATGTGTAACAGCGACAAAATAATGCAGAACTGCCTCCTTTCCAAGTGGCTGAAGTAGTGTTGCTTGAGGCTCTACTGTGAGTAAACCATCAAATTTAAGTTTGCAATAAGAAAAAAAAGTTAACTCGTTGTGGGGGGGGAGGCAGGGGAGGGCAACAACCAAACAACAAAACCAGACTAACCAACCCAAATCCTCAGTGTTTGCAAAGGACTAAGTCTAATGTGCAGTAGTAGGCATGACAACTAGATACGCAGAAGTCTGTAATGCCTCATCATACAATACCAGTTCTTGGATTTTCTGCACACACCAAGCAACCAGAACTACAATCCACTCAGACACTGAGCTATTTGTTGTGGGGATTAAGACAACTTCTAGTATACAATTGTCACCCCAAGTTCTCACCCCAAGAAAAGATACTGCCTTCAGAAAAGCAATGTTCAAGGAAACGTTCATGTAAGCACGAACAACTCAACTTCATTTGCTGAAATAAGGAAGATCAAAAAAAAAACCCCATCCTAATTTCTCTCTTTCCTCTCACCTTTGTAACTGGATCGAAGATATGTGTTCCCTGAGAGGGTGTGAGGGTCATATTTAAGACACCTTTTGGCATCTGGCTAGTGACCATCACTCCCTCTACAGTCTTCCCCATAGTCTGCTTCGGCCCCACTGTGATCTCAAAACGTCCCAATGAGCTGCTATCACGGAAACTGATGTTGTGTTTAACGTAGACAGGAATTGCCACAAGACTAGAATAAAGACAGGAACAGAAAGTCCTTGTCAATCTCTCACCTTCATCTTTGCTTTTCCTGATGCAGTCCTTGCCTTCTATGCTGAAAACATTGTAAAGCTATCTCCTTAAAAGAGATAGAAATCCTACACTCATTTGTTTCATCTAAGAGCGAAGTCAGAATCCTGTATTCAAGTCTTAATTACGCATTTTTTAATCAAGCTTGCTGTATCTTAGTTTTCTACCTCTCTACAGAAGAGGTAACTACATCCAGTGTAACAGGAGACTTGAGCAAAGGATGAGGAATGTTTTTGCATGTCACAACCAAGCTGGCAAGTAGTTCCAGACAGTGCAGTAGCACTTGAACTTCATGTTTGTGCTTTCGGTTGGATTTCCCACTCCTTTTCACCTATCTAAGTCTGACAAAATCTAACAAAATGCTTTAGCATCTGTAACCCCAATTAGTACTTGGTAAGCTGCCTCTAGAAAAGAGCGCAAACAGTGGACAAAAACTTGTAGTTCCATTAAAAATAATGTCAAAAAACCAACAAGATTACCAAACTATTGTGTTTTATTCTTAAAGTTTTCTATAAACACAGGAAATCAACAGCTTGATTACTCCATACTGCCTAATTCTTTCCCTCTTTAGTTTGTTCATCCACTACTAGTCTTTGAAAAATGCTGGCTGACCAAAAAGAAATGACAGATTCATTGCACCAAACAAAGAGAAAACGTGTTTTAAAAAACAAAAAGTGCAAGGAACCATGCAGCTCTACTTCATTTGGCACGACATGCCACCTGATCTTTAAAAGCAAATCCTTTTTTTTTTTTTCCTAGCCAGGAAGATCCAAATTTTGTAATTCACAGCACTACATTCATCACCTACTTCTGAGCACTGACATGATAGGAGAGCAAGCGAAAATTTCCATCAGGTGGAATGAAGGAGAGTATTCTCTCTGACTCCCAGCGCTTAAAACGCACACATGGATGAAAGCTGACATCATCCAATAACCGAGGGTTCTGAAATAAAAGAAAGTCACAAGGTTAGTGAAGGCAGTACTACTTAAAATAACCTCTTCTCAATCTTCTATCCATGAAGGGCCTACCATTTGATGCACTCTGCCCACTTGAAGGTATCTACATTCAGACATGTTAAGCTATTTGATGCTGTTACATCTGTGCGATAGCAGTACTCAATAACCTCTACCCTATTTTAGAAAATTCAGTCATGTCAAGTAATTACATTGATGCATGTAATGGCCCTTTAGGATATCTGTGTAAAGCACCACTGTATCTCAGAAACTTAGTCACAGCACACACTAACAGTACTTTTAACAAAGAATCTATCAAAATAAAACCTTTAGGCTCAAAGTTCCTCAGGTTCACCATGAGTTTCCATTGTCAGTTCTTTCTCTTTTTGTTTGGCATACCCAGGTTCTGATCTACTGGAATCCATCAGCGTGAGACTTGAGATCCTAGTAGCAGGGCTGGGAAACCCTTTTCAAAATACTTAAGTAAAGATATGTCCTTAAGCTTTACCATAAAAGAGAGAGTAAGGTCTGGCATCCCAGTCAGCTTGACACAAGCATCAATCACCCCTTGGATTTCAGCAGTAATTGTAGAACCTGCAACAATAAAGTAAACATGGGAGGTTATGTGAGGCTGACCAAAAAAAATCCCAATGTGGAAAAACTATCAATGGGGAGGAAGGAAATTTATTATCTTTATGAAATGTCATGGCTCATTATGTTGCCTGCTCAACATTTTTCTCATTCCTAATGAATTCTAGACAAGATGCATACGAACAAGAACCACTGACACCAGCAGTGTCCATTTTAATGGACAATGACAATAGCTCACAACTCTAACAAGACTAAGATGCACAAAAACTAAGGAGATAGTACTATGTACAATTTTCACTCACCTTCTATTTTCACAATATAGAATTGCTTACAAGACCTCAGAAACAAGGACAAGTGAAAACCTTGGTACCTCTCTAAAATTTTTGACTGAATAGCACTTACAAGTTGGTAACATTCCAGAGTAAGAATAGGAATAGAGCTTCCCACACATAGATGAGGGAGCTCCTCTTCAAAAACCTAAATCTCTCTTCAGGCACTATCAGGACAAGTTACCCTCATCTTAGCCAGAAGCAACTTCCATACCTGATTTGTCAATGATTGCATCTATCTCCTCAATCACATCAAAATACGCCTCATTGTTGGTATATTTTACACCAGTACGTCTCCAAGGCACCACTGATAGCTGTCCACTAGGAAGCTGGTCACCCACATTAGTACTTCCTGGAAAAAGAAAGGCAATCACAACAACCACAAAAGTTAGACAATGCTCCAGAACAAGTTCCTTGGCCTCATATAACTTAATTGTAATTAATCCCCGAGAACCTCTATCTTTTTGTAGGAGAGCAATTACTCCTCCAGACTCACCATTCATATTGTACAATTTACATCCCTCTTACATTCAACTCTAAAACATACCACAATAAGGCACGGGGAAGTGTAACTAAAAAACAAAACAAAAAGCCACCCCAACAAAAACTAACTCATCCAGGAAGTCGTGTCATGGCTGTAACTGGAAATGTAATCTGTCTAGGTTGTTGGGTGGGTTTTTTTTGGGGGGAGGGGGGCGCGGGAAGTGCAGCTGGTGCTGGAACTGGAAGGAACCTCAAAGCAAAGCATTAAGACGGGACTCCGTAAATACACCTATGCTAGGGTTTAGAATGGTATGGGACAACATAAATTTTCTTCACCCGTGTCCTAATTTACTTATACAGAAATATTGCCACACGGCCTCCCCAGTTTATCTACTTTTTGTTTCCCTGTACCTGTGATGGTGTTGACAACTGTTCGCAGGATAGTGGGAGGTTTTATCAGTTCCTTAAGAATATTAGACTCTGTTGCCAATGGAAAGCCATTGTCCAGCATCTCCTCCAGCACCTCATAAACCACCACAACATTGTCCTTGATCATCACCTCTGAACAGACACCAAAATAATCCTGCGCAAAAGAAATAACTACTCAACAATCTCTGAAAGAGAGTCTTGGTGATCATTCAGTTCAGTGTCCTCCCATACAGAAATAAATCAAGGCTCTTCTTGGAGGAGGTGAAACAACACTGAAACTCCATGCATTAGTACAAGCACATCAGAGAGACTGACCACTCCAACAGACATGCGCAACGCTGAGCATACCTCTGCCACTGCCCCAGCAAGCTGGCAAATCACCGCATCATCATATGCTCTTATTTCCTTTCTATACAACAAGATTCCCTCTGATAGCTGAGAGATTTTTTAATTAGTGCTTCAAAGTGGCTCAATTGCAACTGATTAAGCAGCAATATTAATACGAAAAACTTACCCCCTGGGGCCCCTACTGACTTGCGTGCTGTGATGCCTTTCATTAGACACCAGTATTACATATCCTTCTTCAGCTGCCCTAGTCTTTACCTACAGTACTCTCAATATTTTAACTATGCAGCACTGCTGTTTAAGGAATTCAACCTCTCCTCATCAAAGCTTTTCATTTACTTTTGTTGTAACGCTCGCATACATATAGGCAATAATACAATTATTAACTTCAATTCTGTAAATTTTTTTTTACAATTTATTTTTATGTGGAATATAGGGGAAGCACAGCTTCAAACTTTCTGCATATTCTGCCTAAGTCCATGTTTGTTTTATAGGAGAACATTTCTGAAGTCCGTCTAACACACCACCTGTGTTTTTTCATTCTGATACTGCTTGGGGTGTATAGACTGCTTATACATCTAAGATGTATTAGACTAATAGCAGAAGTCCAGTATTCTGAAAAATAATTCTACCCACGTAACAAATTTAAGAGGCGTATAAAGCAGACCCTCAGAACATGAATCATAAAAGATCCACAGACCAGTTTATTCCCCAGCTTGATTCCCCTACTGTTTCTTCAGCTCCTACTCCAAAACAATAATTAGCAATATTAAAGTTTGCAGTAAAAATATACAAAGTCAAATAGTAAATCTGTAACACAACGTACGTATAGAAAACTAAGTGGAGATCTTTCAAGATTCAGCATATGTTATAGGAAGCAGTCCCAATAATTCAGCAATTTTTAAAATTGAACATTTAATTTGTTCATAGTTTTATTCTATGGGGACTTCATGCATCCTTCTGGAGAGCGAGCGAGTGCACACACACAAGCACAAACCTGAGCTTCTAGTTACTTAGAGCAATTAAAGAGATCAGGCATTCTACACAAAACATGAGTATACATAAACTGTGACACAGTCCTAGTCCTGCACTGCAAACACTGTTTCTTTTTCAGACATACTGGATTTTAACATCCAGCCAAGCCAGTGAAGACACACTCACGCCTCATCCCCTCACAAAAAACAGGACCTAAACGACTGACATAGTACATTTTTGTCCTGAACAGCCAATCCACTCCCTGAACTCAGTGAAACGTAACAGCCTACATTCATGTTCTTATTGGCATCTGGAAGCAAAAGCTCACATGATACTTGTTTGACCAAGCACCCACATTTCCTGTATTCTGGTAGGATGCTAGTCACAAGACATTTCAAATCCAGACTACACAATCCTGTTATTAGCAGGCAGAAGACAGACATCTTCACTATTTCCCTGAACTGGCCGGCAGTCATGTCAGCCGTAGCACAGACGAAATATGGCTGCTCTGGGGCAACTCCTGTGTCTCACTTCTTTAGGAAGCAAATACACTTCCAAGAAATATCAGTAGATGTAAGCACATAGGTAGGTTGTCACTAATTGATTAAAGCACATGGCTATGAATCGCAAAAACGCCTTGTGAGAACAAGGCCAGCTTAGTCTTACTTCACAGCTCCTAGAAGAGACAAGGCTGCAAAACAGAAATATAACTCTTGACTGCTGAACGGTCCTTTCTGTGAGCATAGGCTGATCTCGAATCCATCGTCATCCTAGGCAGTACATTCCTAACCACCGCAAACCCTCGAGACCCACTCTAGATCCTCGCAGGTGCAGGATGAGAATTAAGAGACAAGAAAAAGAGAAAACTAATTGCTGCTAACCTGAAGGGCTCCCTTTTCTCCCCCCCTCCCCGTTCTCCTTTACAACACGGCAGTGACCTGGGGCTCTTCCTCGCCTAACCTCCTCGGCACACGTCAACTAACCCTTCAGCTGTAGCAGAAGCAGCTCCCCCTGCTCGGCCGCGCGGGCCGTACCTGGAAGGTATCGACGACGCGGTGCAGAAACTCGATGACGAAGAGAGGCGGCACCTCACTCTGGATAACGGCCACGAAGAAAATCTTGTGGCGGTAGACGCTGAGGAGGTAGTGGTGCGGCGTGGAGATCACCTTTTCCGCCTCCGAGGCCCTCTCCTGTGCCTCGAAGAAGTAGTCACAGACGGAGCGGCTGACGACACTCTTCCAGTGCTTCTCCAGGAAGATGTCCCCCGAGGCGTTGATCAGGAACAGGCTGTGGATCATGACTGCGGCGGGCGGGCCACACGACAGGGCCGTCCTGCGGCGGGAGCCGGAGCCAGGCCTCTGCTGCGCGCCCGCGCTGCCTCACAAGCC